ATCAAAATTATCTCACACTTTTATAATCAAACTTTTGCAAGAACTTTCACCATAACATATGTTATGTTGATCATTTTCTTGTGATCCGCAACAGTGTCCACTATGCTATGCGATCTAATATCTCTTCCTTATTTTGATTTTTCCGGAAGACCATCAAATCTTTCAAGTATAATGTATATTACAAAGTCAACTTGTAAAATCATTCTTGCCGATCATTATATATTAATATATTTCAATTTGGCTTATATTAGGAAAAATGTCAGTTATCGATAGAATCTGTAATATATGTGGGACATATAAATTGGGCTTAAATTCTCAGTCGTTATAGAACAAGATCTGTTATAGAAAGATCCGTTACAGAATGTGAACTAGAACTGTATTCTTCAACATATTTGACACATCCCATAAAAACAGATGGCATTTGTTACTTTCATTGATTATGTTTTTGGCACAAAGGTAGATAAATAGAAGACTGGCTGACTACTGATTGGAGGATCATTGCGTAAAATATATAACTTTTATATTGAAAAACTTGGTGATCAAGTTACTGAGGAAAAACTACATAATGACTTTCCACGGTATGAAGAATAGAATTGACCAATATTGTCAAAGAAGAATTACGTCTATTACCTCTGTAATTAATACAATTAACATGTTAAAGAAAATGGTGATCACGAAGATTATGGAAAAGACCATTGTGGTAATGCATCAAAAGGAATTGAGCTTGATTAAGGCCTCAGAACATATTAATTCTGAGGGTAATATCCTTCATGATGAGAATGATATGAATGTTGTATTTAACTTTAAATGATATTTATGAGAATATATTTTTACAACCACTATTATATTAAAAGGTTCTATAATTATTATTGCTACTAAAGAATAATTTTTTAAAGCCAATTTTCCTTCTTGCCTTTTGTTATTATTACTATTATTCTTCTAAAATTTACTTTTAATATTGACCTTGATCTCTGTTATACTTTATATACACTATAAATTATATGCATTATTTGTTGTATATGTTTAGATAGAAAATGGTTTGATTTATTACTTTTTGTCCACGAAAATATATTATGTATTTTATCTGAAATTTTATTAGCAAAAAAAACTAAATTATAATTTCACTAAATGCTTTTTTTTTTACTACTTTTTCTCGCCGCCACTTCATATATTTCTTCATTTTCGTCACTATCATCATCAACTGTCAATACTCCATCAAAATTTTTTCCTTAAAGTTATCATCGGTATCATCATATTTAAAGTTTATTTGGAAGCTATCAATTTCTTTAAAGTACTTGATTCTTTCTTGACGCTCTTTTTGATATTTCTTTAATAATAAGGAATTTTAGTAAGTTGACTAACCGTTTATTTCTAAATTTGGATTGTATTTTAATATATTAGTATATTTTTATTATTATCTTACCTCGTCAATTTTTTTATTTTTTCCTTTATTGCCTTTTACTTCTTCGTCGTCATCATCTTTTTCTTTTCTTTTCCTCCCTTCCGCTCCCATTTTTTCAGAATCATTTCTTCCTTCATCTGATGACATTGGAAAATCCAATTCATTTTCAATTTTAGGTTCTAATGGATGATGATGACGCCGACGAGGCAAGAGTGCTTGAAGTTTAATTGTTTTGGTGGCTTGTTGCTGTTTTTCATTTTTCACTCTTTTAGCACTTTCGCTATTGTCAGTGTTGTTAGTATCAATGTTGTTAGTATCGGTGTTGTTGTTCATGTTTTTTGATAGTGAAGCAGCAGCAGCAGCAACAGATGCTTTTTTTTCTTGTGATTCAATGATGTTATCTGGAGATTTTCTGGTATCGGGAGTAGAAGAAGCGGAATCAGAAGGAGAAGGAGGGTGGGAGGAGGAACAGCTGGTAGGAACAGTATTAATAATTGAGATGGATTTTTCAAATGCTTTTTTGGCGGTTTCCGCTGTGACAAAAGGAGAATCTTTAAAGTTGATCTGTTGATTGTGAATCTCTTCACTAATGACATTACTGCTGACATACTTATTAGAACTATTATTGTTACTAATAAAAATATTATTATTATTATTATTATTATTATGGCTTCTGCTAGATTTTTTTAATATTTTTTTAACTTTCTTTTCAGCCTTTATAAAACCAAATGGATCTTCATCTTCATGATTGTCATCGTCATCATCTTTATCACTGTTATGATGATGACGACGACGAAGGTTTCTTAATCCAGGGCAAGAAACTCTTTGTTTTTTCGGTGGTGTTATATATCTCGGATCAATTTCTTCTTCATATTCATTTCTACTCATTTCATTATTTTTATTATTGTCACATACTATTTTTCACAATAATAAATAAACACGCTTTTTTAAATTATATTATCAATCAATAATAATAATTTTATTAATATCAAATCAACATACCATCACTATCTTGTTCGTTTGGTGTATTTTTTTTAATTTTTCCAGTCATTTCTAAATAAAAATTAGACGCGAAAAAGTCGTTTTTCTATATTGATGATTGGTGCGTTACACGGGACCAAATTTATATAGAAAATTTATTGGACAAAAAAAATTATAGTATTATATAGTATTAGTATAAAAATAATATTTTTTTTTCAAAAAAAAAAAAAGATTTCAGTAAATCTAATCTTCCTTACTAGTAGTATATTGATGTTAACAACTCCACGACAAATTACAAAGTTAATAAACGATTAAATAAATTCTTTTGTTAAAGAACCATGAGTAGCACTACTTTAGAAATGGCGATTGACGATCAGAATAATTTCAATAGAAGATCAAGAGGTAGAGGACAACCACGTAGAAGTATAAGAGGTTCAAGTAGTGGTCGAAATAATCGGTTCAAAAATTCCCCTTATGATCGACAACAGGTAACAATTTCTTAAATATATAACACATAAACAATAATAAGCATGAAATTTATGTATATATATTTATATATTTTGATTGTTTTCTTGCAATGACTACATTAGCAGCCACATCCACCACGAGGTGACGTTAATGGTCAATGGTCCCACGATTTATATGAAGATGGACACAATAGTGGACATAATAAAGCTAACGCACCAAATCTTCGTAATAAAAACATTACTAATACAACAGGAAATACTAGGATTATTATAGAAAATTTGTTTTATGAAGTTACTCAGGAAGACCTTCAAGTAAGTTTTAATATAACATATATAAAAAATGTAGATGATATATATGGATAAATCTATTTTATGATGGACTGACTGATTATCTCCCATCATCAAAAAATAATTAAGGAGTTGTTTTCTGACTGTGGAATAGTCAAGAAGGCTTATTTACATTATGATCGGGCTGGTAGAAGTACTGGCATTGCAGAAATTACTTTTGAAAACCCTAAGGAAGCCGATATAGCAATTAGAAAGTATGACGGAAAAACCCTTGATGGTAAAAAAAAATTTTTGTTAAAAATATTTATATAATTTATTTTTGGGAACATTGGGATAAAAACAATTTGTATATGTGTTTCTAAACAATCATACATTCACCACAGGTCAAAGCATGAAAATTAAATACGCACCGTTTAAACCTCCACAAAGAATTAACAGTTCTCGTGGTAATTTAGATAGTGGTTCAGTTATGAATCGCTTAGGAGGAGTCTCTCGTGGTGGACAAACGTATGTGTTTTTTTGACCACTTTTCATCAAAATAATTTTCAAAAAAAAAGTTCATATAAGAGGCGAAAACGGTGCGGACATGTATTATATATGTGATATGTGTGATATATGCGTTCACCTTTTTTTTAAAGTTCTTTTCACAAATTTGAGCTATGACATTCATATTGGAAAAAAAAAATAATGAAGAGTGATTCTGGAGAGGGTTTTTCCTAAGCACAAGAAAACAACAAATATATGGAATATACGCACAAAAAAAAGGATAGACAATGATCAAAATGCGTGTATTCTTCTTTTTATTTCCTTTTTTTTTGTGGAAATAACTTTTATTACGCACCGTAGTCTCTTCTTTTTTCTTTATTTTTTCTTTATTTTTTTTTTTTAAAGAAAGCACTTAGATTATTCTATCATCCTTACCGTTTGCCATCTCCATCCTTTTTGGAAATATAATATTTTCCATCCATAGCAAACAATCTTCACGTGGTAATATTCGATCAAGAATTGGAGGAGGACCCAGTAGCAATTCATCTCGAGGACGTGTGCGTGTTAATAATGGTAGTAATTATGGAGGCAATAACAACAATAATTTTTCGGAAAATCGAAGGAATCCAACGAACAATAGAAAATCTATTACTTATCACGACTTAGATGCTGATTTGGATGCTTATATGGCCATTGACGAAGTAAATATTATTACGAAATTTATTCAACATGAGGGTTTTTTAATAATTTTTTTTTTTTACTATTTCTTTTCACTTCTAACAAATAGGCTCAAACATCTGATAAAGTCAATTCAACAATTATCAATAGTGAAAATGGAATGGATTTATCATAGCGATTTTATTTTGCCAATAATCAAAACATGAAAATATAAAAATATATTTTGTAAATAAGAACTAAGAAAATACTTAGGTTGATATTAAGATTATTTTACAATTTATATTTGATTTTAATTAATTCTGATTGTCGAATTGAATCCTTTTTCATTTTTATATTTCTAATCTAGATTCAATATCAGACTTTAAAATATAATTCTTTCGCTTACATATACATTAGTATGCTATTTTTTTCTTTTTAATATAAATATATATTCTTTTTTCTAATATATATTAATATATAATAATATATAATTACATTGGTTATTTTTTTTTTTTATTCATTATTATTAAGTGTAGCATCAGAATTGTTGGCACTAAAAAAAAATTTTTGTCGCTTTTGTAAAAGAAGATTTCTTTTATATATTACACTCTGTTTCATAGTTTAAACATTGAATCGAGGCATTTGGCTTATAAGTTTGATTATGATCTTGACAAACATGTAGTCCATTTTGGGTTATTTATTTTTTGTGGTGTCTTCGTAATTACTTTTTATTAAGTGACTTCTCCGATCATTCCTTCATCGTTATTTCATCGTTATAATGGCCTTTTTTCCGATTTACTTTGAATGTTTTATAATTTTCTATGAATAGTTTCTAAAACATATTGATACAATTAGATTAAGATATAACTTTAATGTCTTATCCGTCCTAATCTAAATTCTTCATTGTAAATTATACGATTTCTATCAAACGCGTAAAATTGGAAGAAATATAACTTACATCCATCATATTGTAGAAAAAAAATTTTTTTTCCGTTTATTAAATGAAATATTAATATTAATTAAATTAGATCATTATCATATTGTACCGTTCGTGATATTAACATTATTATTAACATTATTATGATTGGAACTTTATCATCCTAAAAAATAAAGAGACCAACTTATAGTCTATTCTCAATTTTGCAAAACAATTAACTTGACGGTATTCATTAGTTGCTGTTTGACTTTTTTCCTTTTGTTTATTTTTTTTTTTTTTTTTTTTTTTACGAAAATAAATTTTTTTAAAAATTAAAATTGTTTTCTTGTTCATAATTTAGTTTATTCGTTTTAGAGGACAAGTGTAAATACAATTTGAAATCTTTGGAGTAAAATGTTCTGAAGAGCAGTAAATATTTGATATTGTTAATTTCCAATTTACAAGGGTTTTCAATAACGATTAATTTGTTTTGGTTAAGTTTGAATTGCTGTAAGAAAATCAGAGGTTTCAGGAGAATTATTGTGTGTTAGAACCTTGAAATAAAACTTTATTAACGTGTATGTCCGTGCATATATATGCTTACCCGAATTTAGCGCAATTTTTGCCCAAAAACGAGGAAAAGCTGCTGCTGTTAACTTCGATTTAAAAGGAAAGTGTTAAAGTATGAATCGTCATGGGTTTATAGTCAAAGTAATAAATTATAAGGATTCATAATATTATTAAACCCCTCCTAATTCTACTATTTTAAAGTGATTACAAAAGGTAGTAACCGTATGTACGTATACGTGAAAAGAACCACACATCCACGTGTATCGCGAAATATAATATGCATGAAAAAGAGCACTCTAGAACAATTCATCAATCAACCTTACCTGATGGCATATCATAAATATTTTTGTTTTGCTATTTTTTTTCAAAAACGAAAGCCCTTTCTACAAGTTGAATCAAAAAACCTATCTTCTATAATGACATTGGTTTGATCTCTACGAGTAACATAAAATATTGATAAAAGATACATTTGAGTGTAATATAGGCCAAATTCTTTTTTTTTTTGGTTATAGGTGACGATTAGAAAAGATGATGGTGATGAATGCTCATTATTATTTTTTATTTGGTCAAAAATGATGAATGAATGGGAATTAAAATAGAGTGAATGTAAAAAAAAACATACAAGTATAAATATGTGTATGTGTGTGTGCGTGTGTGTATTCTCTTTTTATATTTTCTCTTTCTCTATAAATTCAATTTTGGATAAAATGAAAAACTTCTAATTTTGTGTTCATAAATAATAATTTATTCCGAACTAGTTTTTAAACATGCTTCTTTTCATATATATTGTTCTTCTTGCATTGTTTATAATTAATGACTTGTTATTCAAAAAAAAACTTAAATAATTAGGAATTAGATTTTAAAATCTAAAATTATTTTTTTTTGTAAGATCTTTTTGGAATAATGGATAATGCAAAACCATTATTTCATTATTCATTATGAAATTTTTTATATATCACATATCACAATCATAATCACTTTTAATGCACAGAGCGCCGAAATAAGAAATGCTATTTTGGAATCGGAAAAATATGTTTATTATTATTATGTTACACGTCCAAAGGATTATTTTTTAACCTGATTTTTTAGTGGAATATTGATTAAGGGTAAATATTGATTAGAAGTAAATATTGATTAATTAATTTTTAATTTTACATAGAATGAGATGCATGCAAAGAATAAATAACTTACTGAAAACCAAGGAAGCTTATCTTTTTAAAAATTAAATAGATTTTGAATGAATGAAAAATATTAATATTAATATTAATAAAAATTTCCCAAATTGGGCATTTTGTACATTTTGAAACATTGGATTAATTTCTGGAATTAAATGTTGGTCAAAATTGCTTAATTCGGAAAATTTTTTCGAATGGATATTTCAATTTGGAAATTCTTATTAATATTTTAAAATAAAAATGTTGTACTATACAAGTTCATTTAGATTTACATACTTGGCGACTCGTTTAAATTTTATGCAAGTAAATTACAAATAATTACTTTGATTTATATCAGGGATAGCATAAAATCTTTTTTCAAATAATCAGCATCAAAATTTGAAAATCTAGATGGTAGCATTCAGTACTTGAAAGATATACAAGGAACAATCAGCACATATATATCTATTTTCTACACGTCTAAAGACTCTCGAACTGTCATTAAAAGAGTTACAAGGGAGATCCGTAATTAATTACTTATTATTAGAAGAAAATCTTGAATCATCTTCATATTCTAAATCATCATGACTCCCGGAAGAATGTGCGGGCATGTGACCGAACCTTTTGTTGACATGAAATTGCTAACCGATCTAATTGATTCCTTGGAATTAATCTTTAATAGAACCATTATTTTAACTATATAAGAGCACATAAATTTGTTGTCTAAAATAAAACATAACAAAATTTATTATTATATGCAAGTTCCAAGAAACAAACCAGATGTGAATTTAAAGATATCACTTTAATATCACAATCACATTACATTAGATGGTTGTGGCGTTTAACAAATTTAATCACATTGTACCACCTTCCCTTTGTCCAATTTTGTTTGTTCATATATGTATAATAATAATATAAAATAAAAAAGTTTTTTTTCTTTACTTTTAATTTTTTAATTTTTATAATATTTAATTTTTTCTTAATTTTAATTTTTAATATTAATAATAATAATATTTTATTTAATTTAGTACCTAATTCTAATATAATTTCTTTTTTACTTAGTAATTATTATTAATAATATATTATTTATTTATATATATATATATATATTTTAGTAATCTCAGTAATTTCTTACTACTTATAACAACTTCATCAACTCTCTTCAAATAATAATTTTGATTAATAATTAATATATAATTCTGTCAAGTGTTTGTTTTTTCTTTTATTTTAACTTGTTACACGAAGTACTGGTGTACATTATTAATAAAAAGAACTTTCACAACATTCGGTTTGTTTACTTAGAAGGTTTATTCAATATATTATTATATTAATATTATATATTATCACTTCTACTGTTACTATTATATTATATACAAACCCATCACGTTTTGCTGGGCAAAATCTGATGTTAACAACTTTTATATATATTTATATACATCTCGGGGATAAAAGTTTTTAAAAAAATGACATCTCAACAACAGTCAGATTCAAATAAAGAAACATATGGTACTGCTGTCAGTGTTAATAATCCTGGTAGCTCTCCTCAACATGAGCCTAGATTTTTTTCTTCAAAAAGGTATGAATATAATATTGTTATTTCCTTTTTGACGGAATATTTTTTTATTCATATCGTATAACTTTTCTGAAATTTTATTTCCCTGGGATGAATATATAGAGCTAGAGAAATACAAGCAGAAGAAGGTATTACTACAAATTTTCGTCCAACGCCACTTACAACACAACCTATTACTACGAATGGTGCTTTCAGTAATGGAACTCTTCTTCCTGACTCAGTTACAACTTCAATTTCTTCAATTGATTATCTAAAACCTGTTGGATCAAAAGTTTCTTCAACTGCCTCAAACGGAAATGGTTCTGAACACTTTCCCAATTACCCATCATCATATCGTCGTACTCGTGCCGACACTCTACCATCATCGTTATCCAGACCCATGCTTCACTATCCACCATCTACAATATCTCTTTCCTCTTCTAATCCGATTGGATCTTCATCTAACAGTAATGCATCCAGTCTTCTTACGCCACCATCAAGATCTTCTCGTATCCGGTCAGGTTCACTTACTCTGCCTTCATCTTCACTCTCTGCTGCATTTGGTCCTTCTATTTTTACATCTGGTTGGAACGAATCAAGTGGTCCTCCGACTCCTCCAATGCAAACACCTACAACTGGTGATTTACTACGTGGTGATGAAAATAACACTGTCGGGAAAACTTTAGATTATTTGGGCCTAGATGATCATGATCATAGTAGTTCTTCCATGTCAAAATTAAATGCAAATTCTAATGCCATTCCACAAATCAAAGTAGAAATGAAACCTCCTACAACTTCTGGATATTCTTCACAAACTGGTGGGGCTATTCCTTCGCTTCGTAGAGACTCGAACAGAATTCGTTCATATTCAGTTTCTGCTACTGCAAAATATGACGATCCTCCAATACCTACTACAACATCCTCCAATATAACAAATAATTTATTTCCACCAGGGAATGTTGCCGTTCAACAATTTCATCAAGTTCATAATAGACCTCGTGCTATTAGTATGAGTATTTTAGACCTACCAAATGATATAACCACCCTAAGACAAAGAAATTACAATGATATGACAGATCAAATTCAATCTGCCACTTCTTCAAATCGCCTTGGAGGTGATCAATTATTGGAAATGATGTTGGTTGGTGCCATGGAAAGTAAAAAGAAACACCAACAACAACAGCAACAGCAGCAACAGCAGCAACAAATTCATATGGATGATGATTATTTATTACATGATCATGACGACATGGAGGTATGTCAATAGTTGTGTGATGTATAGTTAGTAAATTTTAATTTTAATAATAATAATTATTAACAATTCAATTATTATCATAACGATTATGATGATTATCATTATTATAGAGAAATCATTCTGGGTTATCTAGTCCTCGTGTATCGGATCATTCTCAACAAAGTACACCACCACCACAAACTCCAACTAGATCTTTATGGATCGGAAACATTGATCCAAACTTAACAACACAAGATCTTATGCAACTTTTTTCACATTATGGTGGTATTGAAAGTTTAAGATTATTACCTGACAAAGAATGCGGGTTTGTTAATTTTGTTAGGGTCGAGGATGCGATTCGCGCAAAAGATGATATAATGAACAGATTAGGTGGCCGAGTTGGCAATTGTATTGTACGTGTTGGTTATGGTAAAGCAGATGTATTGAACAATCAAGATTTCTCGATGTCATTTCAAACGCAACTTCAACCTACCCGTGCTCTTTGGATAGGAAACATCCCAACATCAACAACTCCTCAAACATTAGAAAACATTTTTGCACCATATGGGGCAATAGAATACGCCAGAGTTCTTACGCATAAAAATTGTGGTTTTGTCAATTTTGAAAATTTGGAAGATGCTATAACAGCTAAAAAGGCTTTACATGGTAAAGAAGTTCTCGGGAGTGCAGTTGGAAATGTTAGAATTGGTTTTGCAAAAGTTCAACCTAAACCTTCACCCAACGCGACAACACCAGAACCAGAGTCCCCTGCAACTCGTCATGCTCGTCACCCTTCCAATTCTTCTTCCACTTCCAATAACGGCAATAATAATTACAGCAACAACAATAACAATTCTAATAATCAATGGAATGGCCAGATCGACAATTACCATAATATGATGAGATTGATGATGCCTAATTCGGGTAATATTGTTAACGGATTGACAGAAAAACAATTAATGATGAGAGAATTAAGTGGTGGTCTTGATGATGACTTGGATGATGACAACGGTTGGTTTTATACAAATGATAAATGTGTATGGAATTTTCCTATTTAATATTTATTAATTAACAATATATATTATTATTTAGATAATCGTCCTCCAACCAATTATTACACATCTATTCCTCCTGTTGCTGATCCAAATCCAAATAGGAAACCTGATGCATCCAGATTACGAGAAATTCGTAAAAGACTTGATAGCAATCATTGTACTGCAAAAGAGGTAGAGGCTATTGCACTTGAGGTTATTGACGAAAGTGTTGAATTAGCGAGTGGTACGTATATACATACACTAGAATAGCCGAGCCTTTTTAGATTAATTAATCAATTTTATTTAATCGATTCGATGATTTTTTTATGTAGATTATATTGGTAACACAGTTATTCAAAAATTATTTGAACGCTGTTCTGAAAATACCAAAACAAAAATGTTGGAAAAACTTGCACCACATTTGGCCACCATCGGTATTCATAAAAATGGTACATGGGCAGCTCAAAAAATAATCGAATGTGCAAAAACTCCTACTCAAGTACAGATTATTGCATCCAATGTTAAGCCGTTTACACCACCACTCCTTTTAGACCAATTTGGAAATTATGTGGTGCAATGTTGTTTACGTCTTAATCAACGCAATCAATTTATTTTTGACGCAATGGTTGATAGATGTTGTGAAATTGCTCAGGGAAGATTTGGGGCTAGAGCAATGAGAACTTGTTTAGAAAGCCAATATGTAACGAAAAAACAACAGGTAAAATAATTTATTGTTTATTATTATTAAATGGTTTTTTTTTATTTAATTATTTATTAATAATAATATTATTAACATTACAGAAACAAGTTGCAATCTCGATTATTATTAATGCAGTTTCATTATCAACAAATCCAAATGGTGCATTATTATTAACATGGATGCTTGACAATTCTAATTTTCCTGGAAGATATCGTCTGCTTGCACCAAGACTTGCGCCACATTTAGCACATTTATGTACACACAAACTAGCATCATTGACCGTTCTTAAAATCATTAATCAACGCCAAGAGCCAGATGCACGAGAATTAACTATCTCGTCATTGTTTTTCTCTCCAAATGATCAAGTATTGGAGGATGTATTGAATGACCAAGTTCATGGAGTTGGCGTAGTTCAAAAGGTGTTGTCCAGTCCGTATTTGGATCCTCATGAAAAACAAAAATTGGTGGATAAGGTTAAATACGTATTGGGTAAATTGAAAGTTCAACAAGTACAAGGTTATAAACGTTTATTGGAGGAATTGGGAATGGTTGGTGATGTTTCGTTTGGAAATTCGTTGAATCCTGGCGGTCCTACGCAATTGGGTATGGCTCCACAAGGAGTATTTCCAGGCCAAATGACTGATATAGCAGCAGCAGCTGCATATTATGCAGCAGCACAAGCAGCTTTTGCAAATCAACAAATGCAACAAGCTAGTAATAACGCATCGCCAATTGAAAATAATAGTAATAATTCTGCACAAAATGATCAATTCAATTCTCAACAACAATTGTTATTATCACCTTCAAGTGAAGGTACAGCACCTACTCAAAGTTCCACTTCTTTGGCTACAACACCTTCAACAAATTATCCACCACCAACATCAGCAGCACCAGTTTTCATGAACAATGTTCCACTATCGCCTCATCATCAACCACACCCACAGTTTCCGCCCACATCACCATATACTCATATGGCCCCATTTCCACCCTTTATTCATCCAACAGCTTTGGCAGCAGTAGCGGCAGGCATGTATGGACATTCAGCAATGTTTAACCCTGCATATCCTTATATTATTGCCGCTGGTGGAATGCCTCCACCAATGATAAATTCAGCCCCTCCTACTCCAAATGGTGCTCCAAATCCAATATTGTCATTCACACCACCACCACCACCGCTTACACCGCAACTTCAACAACAAGTATTACAACATCATCATCAACAACAATCTCCTCAATTATCACAATCACAACCACAAGAGCAATTACAAGACCAATCATCATCATCGCCATCTTCTTCTTCTTCACCTTTACCACAACAAGAGCAAGAACAATTATCATCATCATCAACTTCTCCACCACAGTCGCAACAAGAATTAAATAGTGATATGCGAGCGCAATCATCACCAAAAGAATCCGGTACCGAATTATTAGAAGGAACTAGCAATGAATAATTACTATAATTATTTATCTCTTTATATTTATATATTTGACTTTATATTTATATATTTAAACTTTAGTTAATAATTAATAATAATAATATAGAAATTCAAAGAACATAATCATTTTAAAATAATTTAATACCTAGTAATCTTAATAGTAGTAATAATAATTTTTAATTCTTAATTTTTAATAATGATATTATTATTAATTACCCAAAAGTATTATTTATTATATAGTAATTATTCCCATATATAATGTAATTTAAAACTATATATATGATTATTATTTTTAATTGAGTGATTTTTAATAGGAACATCTTATTTTTTCTCAATGTGTAATTTTGTGTATAGATTTTTTTTTTATTTTATTTTTTATATTGATTTTTATTTTATTTTATTTTATTGGTTGTTTTTCATTATTTATCTCTCTTTTTAGATCAATAATATATATACACACACACATATATATATTTCTTATAAATAAATTTTATATTTTGTACTTATTTATATTTTTGTATTTATTTGTTAAATTTGGTTTGTGTTAATATTTTATCTTTTCCTTTACTAATCAAATAAATATAGAATCATCTTTCTTTTTTCAGCAAATTTAATAATACTATGAAATCCCAGTGACACTTAATTAGCACATGGTTCTAACATACAGTGTGTCACGAAAAAAATGGCAATGTTGCTTTTTAATATACCAGAGAATCAAAAGATCTTGGATTATTATTATGTGTAAATTTTGAAGCATATTATTTCTATTATATAGGCTTTAGAACAATGATCACATTAAAATTTCTTTTATTTTTAATTAATAAAGTTCTAGAAAATATGGAATCATGTAATTTTATATAGATAATTTTCAGAACTTGAGCTAAAAATTTTATATGATTATTATGTATGCTTGTGTTAGAACCATTATTAAAAAATCCCATGTTAAATTTTAGAGACAAAAATTTAATGAAATTTTAAAAAAAAAGATGTGGATCAGCTTTACAAAAAACTGACAATAATATTTCATGTTTATTTTTTTATTTAATAGAGTAATTGGTGGATCTAATTTTATTTAATTATCTTATGTATTTGTTGACAATTCAATTTTTTACCTGTGCCATTTTTTTTGTGACACATTGTATAATGAATGATATAGTTTTCCTGATGTGATGACTTGGTCTTGGAAGAGTATGCATGATTAGGATTGAACGAATTGTCAATAAAATAAAAAAACAAAATGATTCATACGTTAGCAAAGAGCAAAGAAACAAAATATTCATCGATTCTAAAAAATAAACTAAACATTCTTAGACTATTACAATCATATACAATATATATTGTTATTATCATTTAATCAAAAAAATTTAATTTAAAAATTAATTATAATATTTTGACAAGAATAATTATCTTTCCTAAGATAATGTTTTATTTAATCCGGTTGCCAAATATGTAAGTTAATTGAATCAAATAATACCTTTCAAATAAAATCTACTTGATATCATTTTCGGTTTTTTTGATCGTGTCTTTTCGTCTTTTTGAAAATGGTCATTTTCTTTCCTTTTTTACCTGTCAATCACATAATTTTTTGAGTGAAATAAATGATTATTTTCAATTTATCAATTGATATTAGTAATAAAAAGAAAGAAGGTGATTAATTAATTGCCATTACATGAAGGACTTTCTTTCACGCCGCAAAGTTTGCGGTCTTTAATGATCGAACTACCTTTATCTCGTCATTGACATTGAATTCAAGCGAGCGTAGAAGAAATTCACGTAAATAATGCACTTTTAAGATGACGAATTTGTCCATCAACTGTGATCCCCTCAAGATGTGCAATGCAACGTGTAATACTGTGTTTGCAGGTGATCAATCCTATAAATCTTGATCTAACCATATCAACACGACCAATACCACGATGAACAACAACTTTTTCATCAAAATATATGCAACAAGATCCATTCAGGAAAAACTTATATAGAAAGTCCCTTTTAAGAGTTTCCAATGTCCTTCAACGAACATGGTTGTTTTTAACAGAGATAATATATTTGCATGATGAACACGTTCACAATGTCCATTTTGAATCATCCGTCCATAAACATAACCAGAGTGAAATCAATGAATTGACATAGCAAGATGTATACATTTCCTGAACAGATGATTTGTAAATATTGAATTTGTTCAGAAAATCTCCTTCAATTGTCAGGATCAGTGAATGTTGGTGCAGATACATCTATTTCTAGAAATTCCCTGGGACAAAAATGCGCTGCTTGTTGAACACTGTTGAATGGAATTCTTTTCCAATTTCCGAAACCAGAAGACCTGGTCATTTTGTTGCTTGATAATCTGGTGGTCATGGCTCTTTGAATATGCCATTTACATAGTCAAATTTTAGCATGTGGCCATGTAAACCGCACTGGAATTTTATTTGTATTCTAATACACGAAAAAATCATAAGTATAATCGTGTGCCTGTGATTTTTTGATTATTAAATAGTCTAACAAGACAGCGCCAAACCAGAAGTTGAAGCAGAAGAATCTAAGTAGCAATTTTATAAATAAATTTAATTAATATTAATAAAAAATAATTTTTTTGTAAATACATCATTTTTAACATTTTTATATATCATATTGCCCCTTGTTATTATTTACATCAAATCTATGAAAATCCCCTAACTTAATATGACAAAAATCAATAATTTCCCAATTTATATAACTTTAAACTCAAAGAAATTATTGCTTTATTAATTTATAAAAAATGCTCAACTTTGGCATAATAAAATTTTTAAATAAATTTATTTAATTTAATAATATAGGTTTTTTTTAGCATTTTATACCTTTATTATTGAGAAAAACAATTATGATTAATAAACAGTTTTTTATGATTAAAAATCAGCCAGCAACCACCATCCTTAAAAACATACCACAGTTCCAGATGAAGAAGCTATACGTGGCCAAAGATCTGCACATTCCTTCCCCACTGGACCTGTAATAGCGGAACCTTTCATTTCTCCTTTTGGATTTACAATAACACCAGCATTATCTTTAAAAAAATATATTTCATAAATTATATTGTTGTTTTAGCAATATATTAAAAAAAATCAATTTATTTGTTTACCTTCAAAATATAGAAAAACACCATCTCTTCTTCTCCAAGGTTTTCGTTGCCTAATAACAACAGCAGGCATAACTATTAATATAGCATATTATTATTATTATAATTAAATGAAGATATAATTTCATGTATATATAATTAATTAATTTTACCTTTTTTTCTTAAATCAGGTTTTCCTTTTTTAACAGTTGCCATAACCATATCACCAACTCCAGCTGCAGGTAATCTATTCAATCTAGCATGAATACCCTTAACTGAGATAACGTATAAATTTTTGGCTCCAGAATTATCAGCACAGTTCATCACTGCACCAACCGGTAAACCTAAGGTCATACGGAATTTGTTACCAGAAGCTATTCATGTAATTGAATTCAAGTAGAAAAGTAAATGAATAAAATGAATTTATTTTAAAAGATTTTTTTTTTTAAATTTAAATAAAATGTATTACCTCCACCACGACCTATTAATCATAGTAATTTAATTAATCAGCAAAGTTGTTAAAAAAGAAGTAACAGTTAATAAATATTTTATGGTTCTTTTTACCTCTCTTAGACATTTTTTATTTTAATTGAATTTCTATTTATTTTGTGAAAAAAAGTATTCCAAATATTCTTTAAAAAAAAAAATATTATTTTTTGCAAGAATCTTACATTGATCTCACGTGATTGTATTTATTTCGTAGAACGGTAATCATGTTTTGCGTAGATCAAGCAACAATAACCTATATCAAACTCTGAACAAAAATTGCCATGACCAAATTTTTATAATTAATAAATCTGTTTATCTAATCTGCTCTTCCTATATATAATGAATTTAAATTATTAGTAAATAACATGTAGTATTACTACCCAAAAATGTGAACTTTGTGAGGCAAAAAAAAAAAGACTAATATCTTAAAAGAGAAAGACAATAGCTTGAGAAAAATTTCATGGCCACAACTTGAAGGAGCCCTTAATATTTGGGTTGATAATGCACAACAAAGACATTACTGGCAATATTTCTAAAAGAGAAAACAAACCATTTTGCAGCTTAGTTATTGTTAATTTAATTCACTTGTAAAAATAATTTCACACATAATAATAAATAAATAAAATTCTTTGTTTTGCTTATAAAAACACTTTTGTAAATTAAACAGTAGGGTTTGATTGTTCAGTTGGTTATCAGAGTGGCATAGAACTCTGAGGTTTGGTTTATTTGCTTTGGTATAAAGCCAAGGTTTTGACATTGGTAGTGTTAACAACGGGTTATATAGAAAATTTTCAGTTTCTTTTATTTCAAATAGCATTTATTCTGTACAAGCCACTCCCGTTATAATGATATAATTTGTCAAAATTTTGCAATGCAAGCTTTCAAATATTTTATTTGCAAGCATAACTTGCTGACCTGCAAGTTTTCAAACGTTTCAAGCCTTCAAACATTTTACCTGTGACATAGGCTTTCAAATTGTTCATATTCATCACATAACTGTTAAAATAAAACATTAACCAATAATTTGTCTAATTCGTTGATTCTTTTTTTTTTTATAATTTGTAGAGGAGATTGCCTTGAATGTTCTATTCCTTTTATTTTTATGGTTAAAATAAGCAATTTAAATCGGACTTAAATTACTATTACTACATAAAAGAAATGGATCATGTTGTGAAAACAATGTTTTGAGATAATATATGACTGTACATTTTATCGGGTTTTACTGCGTAATATATATTAATATATTATTTTGATATGCAATTGTGGCTAAAAATTATAAAAAAAATTTTAAAAATGGAAAACACTTTAAATGAAAATAAACATCATTATGATACTTCTACTGACAAAAATGATGATGAAGACCCATATATTAGAAAAGAACATTATGGGGAATGTCCAACCTGCTATAGATATAATACTGGTTGGTTATGGTGTCAATCATGTGATCCAAAGCTATTAACTGAAGGATGGACTAGTGGCAATGAAACATTAGATGAGTTGATTAAAAGTACACAACTTAAAGCAACTCGTTATGGTACTCATTATGGTAATTATGGTTATCTTCAATGGATTCCTTATAATGATTTAACAAATATTGAAAAGGTAGGTGAAGTTGGCTTTGCAACTATATACAAAGCTACTTGGTTAAATGGTGATAAATATGCTGGTGGAATTAATGGAATTAGCAATGATATGACTGTGGCATTAAAAAAACCACATAATTCACAGAATATTTCTGAAGAGTTTCTTAATGAGGTAAATTATAATACTAGTTTCATATTTTTAAAATATTATACTGAAATTCAATATATATATTTTTTTTTAGTTCAAAATTTATGCTGCATTTTATGATAAACCATTTATAATTGAAGTTCATGGATTAACACAAGATCCAACTACAAAAGAATATATTTTTGTAATGAAATATCCAAGTCATGAAGGTTATGAAGACCCATATATTAGAAAAGAATATTATGGAGAATGTCCAACCTGCAATAGATATAATACTGATTATTCATGGTGTCAATCATGTGATCCAAAGCTATTAACTGAAGGATGGACAAGTGG